TCAATTTGTTCTTTTATAGTTAATAAATCAAAAAGAATATCATGTTGAGGACAATAACCCATCGATTTTCTTAATAATTCCATATTTGTTCGTGTATCAAAATCTCTTCCATCTTCACTTTCCATTGTTATTGTACCCGATGTTTGTCTATGTATTCCAATTAAACAATTGAATATGGTTGTTTTACCTGAACCATTTGGTCCAAGTAATGATGTTATTTGATTTTCATATAAATCAAATGATACATCATTAACGGCAATTTTATCTGGACCAAATTGTTTAACAAGATGATCTACATGTACAATAGGTGTACTATTCGAATGAGTTACTTTAAGAGGTACAGCACGACCAGGAACTGCTTCAGTAGGATAATTAACTTTTTCCAAACGCCAATAATTTCGTTTGAAAAGAAAATTCCAATCAAGTGGAATACCATATTCACCTAAAATTTAAAAAAATAAAGATTTAGTTAGTAGAAGTGTGTGGGTGAGGGCGAATGTATAGGTATGAACAACTCTTCTTGTGCACCCACACCCCGATCTCATGCGCAGTTATTCTTTACCTGGAAAAACTTTTTCCAAATACCAAGATAAAATCCAATAGAAAACACAACTAACAATCATAATAAACAATGTTACAAAATATATTGGTACATGACGGTAAATTGCTTGAAAGAATGCTACATCTTTATATGCTAAATCGTGTAAAATCGCTTGCTAAAAAAAACAAAATTTTAATTTCGAAATTTAATAAATAAAATTTGTTACTTGAAAAATCGAACGTCCAGCAATATAGGGACTAATAAATATCAATATATATTGTATAGCTGTTGGCCATACAACAGCATATGAATATATAAATCTTGATAGAGCATGTATGAAAAAAGTGCCTAATACTGCACGAATAGTTTTATCAAATAGTTGTACATTCATTATACAAAATGATATTAATTGTAAAGCATATATTAAATATCCAAGAAAAAGAAAAGCCAGACTAACTGTATGAAAATATTCATCAGATTTTAATTTTAATTTAAATATAATACATAATAATACAGTTAAAAAACAAAGAATAATTAATGTTCTAAAGAAAAAAGAATTCGAAGTATTTAAAGAAACGAAAAAATATATTTTTTTACCGAATTGCTTGAGCAAAATTATTTAAAATAGGTTCAATTCCAAGTACTTTAAGAATTTCTTTAACTTTAGTATTTTTTTCTCGAATTAAACTGATTAGAAGAATTAAATATCTAAGAAATAAAAATATGACATACATTCATTGATTTAGAAATATTTTACATACGGAATAAAATATACAAGATCAATAAACATTA